ATCTAGTTTCTGCTACTGCCTCTGAGAATGGAATCTAGCAGATGAAGCCATTTACAGGTTTGATGTTCATAGCTCAGGGCTCCAGACTTTAGTAGTGAAGCTGGTGTCCGTGCTTGTTGAACGTTGGTGAACCAGCATTGCAGTTTTTAACTCTGAATCTTATTTCTGATGGTGACGTTGATGATGCCGTTGAGGATGACACGATGATAATGATGATGTTGATGATGACGATGAATGTTGATGTCTCGATACGACGTGCTTTCCAGGAAGAAGAGGCATAATAGTTTGTTTCCAGGCGGCTGCATCGCATGATACAAACAGTAGCTGAGTCCTGAATCCATAGCGCGTTTCATGGATCTTCAATGAATCTCATACTTCTCTAGATGAAAGTAGCATAGAAAACTATCAAATTTACAAGGACCTAAAAGTATTTGGGAATAGCATTCAGATATTTCAGGAGATAACCTTTGAAGACATCCAGAAATAGCTTCATTTTCAACTGGAATATATACCATTAGTGAGCTTAAACATGATACAATTTGGTCTACAGGACGCAGTCTTCGGCCATTCTAAGAAAGAACCATTGTGTGACGATAATCTCCTTCAAGAGATTGAGCCTGCTCTTCCCTCCAAAATTACGTCTTCACAATTATATAAAAAGACTATGGAAGAAATGTCCAACAACGCCAACAACACCAGCACCAGCAAGGCTTGCCAGGGTGAGCAGAAACGTATGCAACCAGCCACCTGTTCGAACTCCAACCACCAAACTACCCGTTGATCGCTACGGCTCCGCTGATTGGTCGCCGGTCTGGCTGCACCTGCACTCGCCCCCCAATACTACCCGATGTCTGGGGTCGCCCCAACATCAGTCTTGAGAATGTTCCGTGCTTTCGTAGCCAGCACACCTCCCAGCTAGACTCTAGAGTGTACTGAGAGAGGTGGTGGCTCTAAGCCAATATTCCAGCACCTCCCACTTACTGTTGTATTGCACTTCTTGTTATTTTGCCTTAACGTAACTTTTCATTTTGTCATTTAAGAATTCTTATTATTTTGATTGATTGATTTTATTATACATATTTGTTTGTGCATTATTTTCATGTTTTGATTTATTTAACGTAATTAAAATTTCATTGTTAAAGTTTACTTGTGTTTTGTGTGTCTTCTCCTTACCTTACCACAGACGAAGTTCCAGTTTTTCTATTTTTTTTTATAACTATGTGACGAGGCCATACCCCTAGCATTAAACAGCCGAACACCAACGCGTTACCGTCACAAGTTATATGGGGGCCTGTCCTAGGAGCTTCACTCAGGTACTGGTGCCAAGTGGTAATTTATGGTAAGCGTATTTAACTTTGTTAACGTAGCTTTACTATTTTTCATTCAATTTCATTTTTAATAAGGTGCGGTGTATTGTGCATTACGAGAGTAACATATAGTGAAGGTGAGACAACTTTGGATTACGTGGTGACTGTAGGCCTCAGTCATACTCTTAATTGGTCATCTCTCCCTCCTTGTTATTACTCGTATTTACCATCTATGTCCCTTGAATATTTCTCATTCTGACAGATCATCATATTGGTACCCTGGTACTGTGGTCTGCCCCGGGTCAAGAGTACCCAATCTTCTGCAATCTGACTGTAGGAGGACAAAGAGGGCCATAGTTCCTCTAGCTCGAACTTTAGTTGCTGAATTGGGACCTCAGCAGCAGTTCTCGTCACCAGTTGACACCTCGCACCCCTACACGTCAGTCAGAGATGATGATACATACAACGGTAGGGAATTAGCTTATTTTTTTCAGAGCACAAAAGTTCGCTAATTCTGTAAGTATCATATTAAATTCAGTGGGAAAAACTTGCTTTATGTCCTATAGAGACTTGGCAAGGTATGCCTACATCCTTGGACTACCAATTTTACTTTTGAAGCATTTAACTGTTTCATTTGTTTTCGAAACTTTGTTTCATTTGTTAGTAGGATTTTCTTGCCCTTATTCTCTTACATGAGTACCGGGTACAAGATTTCCTGCGCCCTTGATTTAATTTAATCATTTAATATCTTTCACTTAACGTTAATTGTTAAAGATCACACAGGATAGGTACCAGTTGCCACGTTGTCCTGTTTCTGACATTTCATTATTGAACATTCGTGTACCTTTATTTGCTAATTTCACCATGTTTCGTCTCCAAACTTTCCGTGCAAATCCAGCAGGTGAAATAGGGACTTTGAGTCGTGCCAAGAGGACTGAACTACAAACTCTTGCACATGAGTATCAACTAGAAGTTCCCTACCAAGCCAACAAAAATGACCTACACAACCTGTTGCTGGATTACTATTTAGAGCAAGGTAAGATAGACTCTGAAACTCATGAAACTTACTATATTGCAGAGAAAACTGACTTGGCTACGATGAAACTTAAACTAGAGCTGGCCAAGATTGAACGTGAGCAGCAAAGAGAAGCAGCTGCCATACGAAGGGAAGAGCACGAACGCGAAGCTGCCTTGAGGAGAGACGAACAAGAACGCGAAGCTGCCTTGAGGAGAGAAGAACACGAACGCGAGGTCGCATTACTCCGTGAACGTGAAAGAGTACAGCTTGAAACCAAACAACGCGAGTTGGAAATACAACGCGAACATGACAAGCAACAAGCGACTCTGGCTCTAGAGTGTCGTCAACGCGAAATCTCCTTGGAAACTTCACACTTCACCCAACGCCAGCAAGCTACTGCCAATCTTCCCGTCAGTTTTAATATATCACATGCAAGTAAGTTAATGCCATCCTTTGTAGAAGCAGAAGTTGATGTGTTTTTTACCACCTTTGAAACCCTTGCTAATCAACTCAGTTGGCCTGTCGACCAATGGGCCACACTTCTCAGAGTCCATCTTACAGGTAGAGCTGCAGTCACACTCAGTACTTTGGCGTCTGAGAATGACTACTACACTCTGAAACAAGCAGTGTTGGACGCCTACCTCCTCTCTACTGAAAGTTATAGAAGGAAATTCCGTGACCACCTGAAGGCAAGTACCACTACCTTCCTCGAGTTTGCTAACACGAAACGGAGGTATTTCATGAAATGGCTGGAAGCAGCACATGTCTCTACTTTTACAGAACTCGTCAACCTGATGCTTGTTGAAGAATTCTTGAGACGTGTGCCGCCTCCTGTCCGCCTCTACTTAGCAGATAAAGAAGAAACCGACTACCTGAAGTGTGCTAAGTCGGCTGACACTTACAGCCTCATCCACCGGCTGACACCTGAACCATCCTCCAGTAAGAAGTCGTGGTACAGTTACGAGAAGGTGAGCCCCGATCAAGCTGGTTCACAACTGTACTGCAAGTATTGTAGACTCTATGGACATACCATAGACAAGTGTGGTAAGTCTCAATACAAGGGATCCACTGACCAACAACGACCCAAACCAACTCCTCCTAAGTCCGGTAAGCCTGTGATGAATGTTGGTGTTGATGTTAATGATCTTTCTCTTTTCAGTAACCACCTGTATACTGGAACTGTCTCTGCCAACGGTTCAAATCCGGAGGGACGTTTCAAATTGAAGATCTTGAGGGACACAGCGGCTCTACAATCGATCATCTTGAAGTCGGCTGTGCCCAACATAGTCTACACCGGGGAAACGGTCTTCATCACTGACCTCACTGCTACTACTCCATACCCTCTCGCCAGAGTCCACCTGGATTGTCCCTACGTGAACGGGGAAGTCCAAGTCGCCGTCAGGGAAAAGCCTTTTCCCATGCCTGGAGTGCAACTTCTCCTAGGCAACGACTTGGCAGAAGACCTGCAACCAACCAACCTGATCGTCATGGACAAACCCCAGGTGTGTAACTCTGTGCCAAGTAACCCTATTCTTGAGTATGTTCCAGCAGAGGTTCAAGAGAGTGAAGTTTCTCCTCCGGTTCTCGTGACCACCCGTGCACAAGCCGCACGTCCACAGCCAGCTGACTCTACTGCTACCGCTGTCCCTCAAGACCCTCAGAAACTACCCCCGCATCTGACCAAGTTGGAGTTCCGTAAGTTGCAGAGGGAAGATCTTACTTTAACACCATTGTTTTTCCAGGCTGAGACTCAACCCGACAGTATTCCTGGGTTCTTCCTAGAGAACGACTTGCTCTACCGCAGATATAGACCCAGTAAACTGAAGGAGGAGGACGATTGGGCCAACACCGAACAACTTGTGATTCCCACCAGCCTGCGGCCCACTATTCTACACCTGGCCCACGGAGCATTCTCCCACTACGGCTTCAACAAGACTTACCATGGGATTCGCCAAGACTACTACTGGCCAGGTATGGTAAACAACGTCAAACAGTACGTAAAACAGTGTCATACATGTCAGATGGCAGGCAAACCGAACGTCTCCATTCCCAGAGCACCACTGATTCCCATACAGGTGCCTGCGGAACCTTTCCACAGACTCATAATAGACTGTGTTGGTCCTTTACCTCGGACCAGTTCAGGTAACGCCTACATCCTAACCATCCTGTGTCCTACCACCAGATTTCCCATAGCAGTTCCAGTGAAGAACATCACGGCTGCTACGGTTATCAAACATCTACTGAAGATCTTCACTCAATACGGATTTCCCAGGGAGATTCAAAGTGACTGTGGCACCAACTTCACCAGTGATCTCTTCAAAAGAACACTGGAGGAGTTCAACATCAAACAGGTATTGTCCAGCCCCTATCATCCTGCTTCACAGGGTTCTCTTGAACGTAGTCATCAGACCATCAAAGCACTCTTGAAAAAGTTTTGTAGTGAAACCTCAAAGGATTGGGATAAGCAGATTGACCTAATAATGTGTATTTTCAGAAGTCTCCCCAATGAGTCCCTAGGAGTATCTCCTTATGAGATGCTCTACGGCCGTAAGTGCCGTACTCCCCTTAAGGCTTTCAAAGACTCTCTCAGAGATGCCACCTTCAGTGAGCATCAGAATGTGCCCCAGTTTCTTCAAAACCTTCAGCACATTCTAGAGAGAGTCCACCGCTTTGCCCATGATAATCTATTGAAAGCCCAGGTGAGAATGAAGACTCATTACGACCAGACCAGCAAAGTAAGAAAATTCAAGCCTGGAGACTTCGTCCTTGCTTATTTCCCTATCCCAGGTTCACCTTTACAAAACAGATTTTCAGGACCCTACTGCGTCAAAGAGTGCAGAAACAACAACGCATACGTCATAGAGACTCCAGATAGGCGGCGGAAGACCCAGCTGTGCCACGTCAACCTCCTGAAGCAATATAATGGTACTCCTCCCACTGTCTTGATTAATTGTTCTACCTTCACAGAACCCTACATCCACAGTGAGACCATCCCGGCTTCTTCTCCCGAAAGCACTGACAAGGAGTCGGCGCTTTCTAATTCCAAAATCCTTAATGATCTTCCCAAATGCTTTCAGGATAATACTCGTGCTCCTATGCCCTCTTCTAATTCCACTCTCACCTCGTCAGATAAGCCCTACATCCTCCATGTCGACGCCAATGGTACCGACGATGGTGGTGTCGTGATGCAGCAACGAGGCGAGAAGAATTCACCTGTCAGCGACTACTGCTACAAGGAACGACGGAACAATTGGCAAGGAGCTACTCTTCCTCATCCTGAAGCTTCAGCACTTCACTCCACACCTGAAAAGTGCTCGGTCCACCATCAACACGGACCACACCACCCTACACCTCCTGCAGCACGCCCACTTCTCATCTCAACGTCTTCTACTATGGGCTTGCTACCTGCAGAAATTCAACCTGGAGACACGCTATACCAAGAGTCTGACAACATCTTAGCCCATGATCTCTCCAGAGTTTATGAAGTAGAAGCGACTCCATCCATTACTCCACCACATAAAGACGTACTTCTTCCAGAACCGCAGGCTTCGGGGGAGAGTTGTGACGATAATCTCCTTCAAGAGATTGAGCCTGCTCTTCCCTCCAAAATTACGTCTTCACAATTATATAAAAAGACTATGGAAGAAATGTCCAACAACGCCAACAACACCAGCACCAGCAAGGCTTGCCAGGGTGAGCAGAAACGTATGCAACCAGCCACCTGTTCGAACTCCAACCACCAAACTACCCGTTGATCGCTACGGCTCCGCTGATTGGTCGCCGGTCTGGCTGCACCTGCACTCGCCCCCCAATACTACCCGATGTCTGGGGTCGCCCCAACATCAGTCTTGAGAATGTTCCGTGCTTTCGTAGCCAGCACACCTCCCAGCTAGACTCTAGAGTGTACTGAGAGAGGTGGTGGCTCTAAGCCAATATTCCAGCACCTCCCACTTACTGTTGTATTGCACTTCTTGTTATTTTGCCTTAACGTAACTTTTCATTTTGTCATTTAAGAATTCTTATTATTTTGATTGATTGATTTTATTATACATATTTGTTTGTGCATTATTTTCATGTTTTGATTTATTTAACGTAATTAAAATTTCATTGTTAAAGTTTACTTGTGTTTTGTGTGTCTTCTCCTTACCTTACCACAGACGAAGTTCCAGTTTTTCTATTTTTTTTTATAACTATGTGACGAGGCCATACCCCTAGCATTAAACAGCCGAACACCAACGCGTTACCGTCACAGGTTATCAAGATCTCTGTGATTACGCGACTTGGCTGCTTCCGGGTGATTGGCAGCATCTCCTGCTTGTGCAGCACTGAAGTCAGCATAGGTGTTGTCTAAAGCTGAAACGCAAGTGTAGTCCCAAACCAAATGTCTACCATTCTTCCATGGGTTCACCGTAATCCTGTCTGGGCGACCGACAGGCCCATCAGAACTGCGGGGCATTAGGTACCGAGGCTCTCTCTCTGCTGGACAACCGGCTGTAGTAAGGCTTCTCTTAATAATGTCATTAACCTCGCCGTGTCTTGCATGCCATCCTCCTGTCCTTCGGCAGAGAAGGCCATACCGTCCGTACCTGTCGGCCTCTGCCTCGCCGCAAATACACCCGTATTCGGTGTGGATTGGGGCAGCGAGGCGGAGAGCCACAGCAATTCGGAGGGCCTGCAGTGTGAGACGAGTGCCAGTTGCTGTCATTGGGGTTGCTAATAGCAATTCCAGCTGGGCAGCGGCTAGTTGTTTCTGGGATCTTTCTTTGTTTTGTTTGTTCATAGTATAGTGTTTCTGTCTCCTACTAATTAAATTTAGTTAGGGGTATATCCTAATCCAATTATTAAATCCTTAGTTTGAGCAACCACATACTTGCATATTTAATTGCGAAACGAATATTAGAGTTCAGCGTTCAAAAATAATTAATAGATTCATCATAATGACAATGATATTATCTTACTTATTCGCTACAAGCACTGTCATTTCCTTCACATCACCTCTGCTTGCACTGCTACAGGCACTAGGACCACTACCACCACCACATCACCACAGTTTGTACTGCTACAGGCTTTAGAACCACTACCACCACCACATCACCACTGCATGCACTGCTACAGGCTTTAGGACCACTACCACCACCATATCACCACTGCTTCTGCTGTTTATAGCACTACTACTACTACCACTACCACCATCACCCCTGCGTGTACAGCTGCTGGCACCACAACTTACCGAGGTAAGAGCTCTGTAAGCCTCCTCAGTGATGTTGTCAACTTGGTCGTCGGGAAGTTTGATGAAGAGGGCGTAAAAACTCCTTAACTCGTCGTAGGAGACGATGCCATCATCTGTAAAATAATGAAGAAGATCAACGAACAAAAATAAGTGTGCATGTGTTCACCTAGATGTGCTTGCTGAGTCTAGAAAGTGTATGTGTGTTGAAGTAGATGTGCTTGCTGAGTCTAGAATGTGTATGTGTGTTGAAGTAGATGTGCTTGCTGAGTCTGGAATGTGTATGTGTGTTGAAGTAGATGTGCTTGCTGAGTCTAGAATGTGTATGTGTGTTCAAGTAGATGTGCTTGCACTGCTGAGTGTGTGTGTGTGTGATGTGTTTGTATGTGTGTTCTTAAAAAATATACTAAGATGTGTTTACTGTGTCAAGTGTGTGATGTGTGTGAGCTACAGTTGATCAACTCACATAAACGTGCTTGTAGTTTGGGAAGTGTGTGCACTCACCTAGATGTATTCATCTAGAAGTGTTTATGGCTGTATAAAGATATGGTTAACTGGACACATTTTTCCAGCCCGTCCTCCAAAAAATGGGGAGGTAAATGTAACAGCCCCATAAGTGCAATTATGTACTATGTATGGCAGTCAGGAAATGTAATTATTACACTTAGTATTAAAACGTAGTCAATTCGTAGGATTGGTTGTATTTTTCTTATTACTAGACGTTCAAGGTATACACACACGTGGAAAATCAACAGCTTATGGACAAATACTTATTTATTTGCCATGTACATTTAAGCTGGTCACATATATGTGGGGCTCACCCCCCTGTATCTCTAGACTGTAACAGTCAATAGGCTAACTGCTCCCTTCAAATTTAATACTAGAGAGAGAGTACTCGGTTATGCCGTGGTTTCCCTCTCCCCCCAGTCATTCTTCCCCTCTTCCAATCTCCCCATTTGTCTCCTGCGTTTGTTGGCAGGGCGGGAAGACTATGTATTTACTATTTGTATCTGTAGGATCGAGCTATTAGCTCGTGGACTCGCCTTTGTAATCGAATTATTTTGCTTCTATTATGCTTGATACATATATTTATCTCTAACACACGCATGCACACACACACACACACACACACACACACACACACACACACACACACACACACACACACACACACACACACACACACACACACACACACACACACACACACACACACACACACTCACACACACACACACACACACACACATAGTGTATAGTAAATCACTAGAGACGGGAGACCTACCAGAAATATGGAAGACGGCGAATGTGGTCCCAATATACAAAAAGGGCGACAGACAAGAGGCACTGAACTACAGGCCAGTGTCCTTGACTTGTATACCATGCAAGGTGATGGAGAAGATCGTGAGAAAAAACCTGGTAACACATCTGGAGAGAAGGGACTTCGTGACAAATCGCCAACATGGATTCAGGGAGGGTAAATCTTGCCTTACAGGCTTGATAGAATTCTACGATCAGGTGACACAGATTAAGCAAGAAGGAGAGGGCTGGGCGGACTGCATTTTCTTGGATTGTCGGAAAGCCTTTGACACAGTACCGCATAAGAGGCAGGTACATAAGCTGGAGAGACAGGCAGGTGTAGCTGGTAAGGTGCTCCAGTGGATAAGGGAGTATCTAAGCAATAGGAAGCAGAGAGTTACGGTGAGGGGTGAGACCTCCGATTGGCGTGAAGTCACCAGTGGAGTCCCACAGGGCTCTGTACTCGGTCCTATCTTGTTTCTGATATATGTAAATGATCTCCCGGAGGGTATCGATTCATTTCTCTCAATGTTTGCGGACGATGCTAAAATTATGAGAAGGATTAAAACAGAAGAGGACTGTTTGAGGCTTCAAGAAGACCTAGACAAGCTGAAGGAATGGTCGAACAAATGGTTGTTAGAGTTTAACCCAACCAAATGTAATGTAATGAAGATAGGTGTAGGGAGCAGGAGGCCAGATACAAGGTATCATCTGGGAGAGGAAATTCTTCAGGAGTCAGAGAAGGAAAAAGACTTGGGGGTTGATATCACGCCAGACCTGTCTCCTGCAGCACATATCAAGCGGATAACATCAGCGGCATATGCCAGGCTGGCCAACATACGAACGGCATTCAGAAACTTGTGTAAAGAATCATTCAGAACTTTGTATACCACATATGTCAGGCCAATCCTGGAGTATGCAGCCCCAGCATGGAGTCCATATCTAGTCAAGGATAAGACTAAACTGGAAAAGGTTCAAAGGTTTGCCACCAGACTAGTACCCGAGCTGAGAGGTATGAGCTACGAGGAGAGACTACGGGAATTAAACCTCACTTCGCTGGAAGACAGAAGAGTTAGGGGGGACATGATCACCACATTCAAGATTCTGAAGGGGATTGATAGGGTAGATAAAGACAGTCTATTTAACACAAGGGGAACACGCACAAGGGGACACAGGTGGAAACTGAGTGCCCAATGAGCCACAGAGATATTAGAAAGAACTTTTTTAGTGTCAGAGTGGTTGACAAATGGAATGCATTAGGGGGTGATGTGGTGGAGGCTCACTCCATACACAGTTTCAAGTGTAGATATGACAGAGCCCGATAGGCTCAGGAATCTGTACACCTGTTGATTGACGGTTGAGAGGCGGGACCAAAGAGCCAGAGCTCAACCCCCGCAAACACAACTAGGTGAGTACAACTAGGTGAGTACACACACACACAGACACACACACAACACACACACACACAGACACACACACTCTCTCTCTCTCTCTCTCTCTCTATCTCTCTCTCTCTCGAGGTGTGTGAAGAACTCAACATGAGGTTCCAGGAGGTCTTCACAATAGAACAAGATGAGGTCACTGCGCGAGCAGAGGGGGGCAGTAGGCTTGGCGCCCTTGAAAGGGTTTGAAATTACGAAAGCTGAGGTCAAGAGACACCTGTTGGATTTGGATTTGAGAAAGGCTGTTGGTCCAGACGGGATCTCACCATGGGTATTGAAAGAGTGTGCAGAGGTACTTTGCTTGCCACTCTCCATAGTGAACAGTGGGTCACTAAAGACGGGAAACCTACCAGAAATATGGAAGACGGCTAATGTGGTCCCAATATACAAAAAGGGTGACAGACAAGAGGCACTAAACTACAGGCCAGGCCTACTACCTATTTACTGCTAAATGAACAGGAGAACTAGGGTGAAAGAAACTCTTCCCATTTGTTTCTGACTCTGTCGGGGATTGAACCCGAGTGTAATTTTTCTTGCAAGTTTAATAAATTGTTTACTGGTTTAATATTTTTTTCGGGAGGAGGTGGGGGGGGGGGAATCAGAGGAAGAATGTGACCTTCTAGCCTCCCACCTCGATAATAAAACCCCAAGCTACTGCCAGTTTAAACCGAGAGAAATGACCCCAATACTGCAGGAACCAAGGAAGTCTCACCCCATCCTATATAAATGCACCAATTGTGTGCACATACATCTTATTAGCCATAGAGGTGCTCCTAGTTGTAAATAAAAGATGTCGCATTAGCTTTGATATGTAAATTCATTGAGGCGGGATGTCACATATCGCTGGTATCCCTCCATTGGACCTCTATCTATATCTGCCTTATAATTGTTAAATATTTCATCATTCCTACCTTCTCCTACAATTTTTTTCCCCCCTGCAATTAGGCAGCAAATTTGTTTGTTCCCATTACCTCTCTAACATATTGGCTACATCACCCATCTCAACCCAAGGTAAACACACCAGCATTCTGTCCTTTGTACTGGTGATGACACTTCTCCCTTACCGTCTCGTTTCACTGCAGATGATTTTGTAGTTTGACATTCTCATCTATGAGAAGAAATACTTAATCCTTCTTCACTAAACCTAGTTAAGCCTTTAAGCTCAGTAGAGATTTTCTAGTGGCTGCCATAAGGAGACATTATCACAGTCACTTACAGCAGGAATCTTAGACAGGAATGAGTAACACGTCCGTCTCCTGACAGTCCCCATTGCCTGACTGATGATCCACTCCTACCTGTCTCCTCTTCCTCACTCCCGTAAGCAGCAAACCCCAGATTCACATTATTCTCACCTCTCCTGTTGATGACTTTAAAGAGAATCTTGGGCAGAATCTGAAGCCATATGGGGAAGTCGACCATAGCTCTGGCCCCGTGGGTGAGGTTACCCCACATGTTAAGCCATTGGTACATCTGGACCCGGTCTGGGATCCGGTCCACGTCGAACTCTGTGAGGAACCGGAAAGAACTCTGATTAGTGAATGACTCCCCTCATTTCATTGGCAAGAGAGGGGAGGAGATTGATTGATGACTTAGTCATTCATTATGCATCCTATATCCGTACCAGGGGGGGAGGCGATGAAAAAGGTTAGTGTCTCCACAGTTCATTTTGGCAAGCAAGTAACAATATTGTGAAGCTAGTTGCTTAATTTTTAATATATTATATATCAATAGACGTTTAATATTACAAATTGATCAAGAAGTGTCCCTCAACAGACTATGAAAGGTCATTTACATCTTCAGTAAGTCAGTTACACAGTTACTAGTCATACTCACGCACCTATCAAACTGGGCGGCAACTGTACAGTCATGTGCATGCATTACCTGCAGTAAATAAACTTTGGATTCTTGGCTAAGATTACTGGTAGTACATTATGTTGATGAAGTACATTTTATAAATACTTGACCATTTCTTAGACACCATTGACAGACTGACAGAGAGAAAGACATACACTGACAGCCTGATCCCTCTTCTCCTCTTCTACAGTACTAGAGCTCTGAGAGAAGCAGAAAATACGCTCACCAAAGCCGTACTCCGGCTCGATCTTGCCCACGTGTTCAAGTAGGCACTCGAAGAAGTCAGCATGGATCTCCTTCATTGTCAAGTAGAACTCGTTGTCCTCGGACCAGCCCGCGTAGTGACGCATTCTCTGTGGAGAAACCCAGGAACAGTAGAAGTTCTGTGTTATCTAGTCTGTGCTCACAGACATAAAGACAAATGCATTCGCCGGTACACACATACATATGGATTCTCATGCGCGCGCAAACACACACACCCACACAAAACAAAACAAACACTCACGTGCACACTTGATTCGTTCCGCCTCGTAAACGCTCTCCAGGTGTTTCATCTCTGTCATTTGTCGTTCCGGTTAAGGGGCACAACGAACCCAAGAGAGAACTCAATGAGTCAAAAGCTTCATTGAAATGATATACAAAAAATACAAAAATACAAGTATACTCGGAACTCTAGATAGGTTTTAGTTTGAAGCAGTCGCAAGTGGACAAAGAGTCACAATGGTGATCAGTGTTCACATACAGAGGTCAGAGTAGTGGTTGACATAACTTGGGATTGATAATTATAACAAAGTCTCAGCTATGGACTTGTGGTACACGAGCTGGAACTAAGTCCAACTCATTGGTATTAACAACTAGGGAAGGACCAGTTAAAAAAGACCAGATTGGTAAGGTCAGATTGACTTGATAAGACCAAATTGGTTACACCAGTTTTGTTGGGTAAGACCAGCTTCATACTAATAATTCAGTTTAGTAAGACCAGATTGGTAAGACCTGCCTGATAATACCATCTAGGTATAAACTAACTAGTTATAACCTGCTAGGCATGAGCAGCTCCTGAAGAACAGATAGATAAGAACAGCTAGGAAGGAACAGCTAGGTAAACCCAGCTAGACAAAACCAGGTGGGGTAAGACCATCTAGATGAGGACTGACACACACACTTTTCCGTCCGCGTTCCGCACACTACATAAAAAAAATTATTTAATTTCCGTCGCGAGATCTCATTATTTGCTCAATTAGTTTTACACGGCCATATTGGAGATAGCGAGCCAGACTCTGGGAATCCATGACTATAATGAATGTATTGAATCATATTATGGATCTGTGAGTCCATATTGGTGATATTGAGCCAGAATTAGGTGTTGCAATGACCACAATGAAGAGGCTGAGATTCGGTTTGAGTCAGTATGTCTTCGGAATAATTTCAAACAATAACGCAATCTTAGCAAAAGCTAAACAGAGATATGCAGCAGAGCAAGTGGTAGAGGAAGGAGCGTGACATTTGGATACGGAGGAAATATATATATTTAGCTAGATATCAATGAGTAGTGATAGCTTAAAAGGAACAGCTGCATTGCTAATCTCATTCTCTCTCACTCACACTCTCAGACATTAACGTTCCCAGCAACCTCCTTCCCATTATCTTGCAACATTTTCAGCTTCATACTTACCTAAATACTTACTCCTTTATTGTCCACTACAACATCAACGACACAAAAATCTTTCTGTTGCACTCATTCATTCCATCACCCTTTCTTATTTCTGGGTCGTAACTTTGGACACTCCACTTCCCAGGATCTCTTTATTCAATCACGGCAAACAGAAAAATAATGAAAAAAATATGCATTGCTATAAATTAAACAACAATGGAGCACTCTCTTAATTAAGGAGATCAAGATTAATTTCACTGAACTCAGTTACGATCAAATATAAATCTGTTCCACTCACACTATCTCTCTCTCTCTCTCTCTCTCTCTCTCTCTCTCTCTCTCTCTCTCTCTCTCTCTCTCTCTCTCTCTCTCTCTCTCTCTCTCTCTCTCTCTCTCTCTCTCTCTCTCTCTCTCTCTCTCTCTCTCTCTCTCTCTCTCTCTCTCTCTCTCTCTCTCTTACACTGCTCTTATCATTATCTCACCGTCTTTATTTCTGTTCCAGACCTTTTAGTTGAAAACAACAATAAATCTTAATTTAAGTATAAAACTTATCCTTCTTGCTTCAACGTCTCCATTTGGGCTGGTCCACGTCTTAACATTACTCAGTGGAAGTTTATTAGCAGATTAAATGGACAGCACGATGGAGTTTCAAGAACAACTTCTTAAGGACGCTGGAGCACGTAATTGTCGTTTTCTCTTTAACAAGAGATGAAATGCGAGACACTTATGTTTAGTATGAAGTGGCTTGAGGATAGTGATAGGATAGTTTTCAGATTTCGGGAAGTGACATAGTGTGTGCTTATGTCTAATCACCTAATTGTGCTTGGTGGATTGAGCTCTTAACTCACACACACAGATTGAACTTGCCTAAGACTTGTTTGAGATGGAATATTTTACCAGAATGACAGCACATTATATATTACAAATTTACACATGAAGTTTAATATAACATTTTAATACAACTTTATACTGAAAAAGAGTTTTTATAACAAAGTATTAACACATTATTTTCATATAATAAAATAATAGAGAACTATTGTATGTGAAATAACATTTTTCGAGATGAATTAATAGTGCATATCATGAGTGAAAAAGATAAATAGGGAAACCAGCAGAGTTATTCGTTAGTTTATGAAGGGAGGAAGGGAGACAGCTAACTAAAGGAGCAATAATTCTAAACTGTGTTAACCCTCACAGAGTATTGGAACATAAGCATATATTTTGTGAGACGTAAACAAATGCATGTACTTCAAAAGGATGTAAGAGGGGGAGGAGCTGGCTCAAATGTAGTGACAGAGCGAACTTAAAATGACCTTGGAATATACCCATTTCTAATCATACAGGAGTTTTAATCATTAAAGGACGGTAGAAGTTTACATTACTCACCTGCTAAATGTGTTGAATATATAACGCTATGTTTTATGCAGATTAGAAATGGTTATTCAAGGAGTCAGTTAGGCTTGTCCTTGAGCGACATATTCGTGTGTGTTGGCAATGATAACACACTGGAGAGGCTTCGTGGCAAGCTTCAAAAATTCTCAGGCTTGAAGTTCACCATTGAGAAAAGTAAAGGCAGGATTCCATTCCTCAATATTCTCGTTGACGGTAACTCGGGTTGGTTCATCTCAGATGTATTCAGTAAACCAGCTGATGCAGGAAAATGTATGAACGATAAGAACGAATGCACTAACAGATGTAAGAGAAGCGTCATCACGGCATATGTAGGTCGAGCAATACGTGATGCTCTTCTTGGCAGTTCTTGCACCACGAACTTGAACGAATCTTCCAAATTGTTGTGAACAACGATTACAGCAATACAGAATTCGGCGAAATCGTAAGTAAGAAGCTGGGCCGCCTTCTGACTGAGGATAATCAGGCCCCAGGGGTGGAAAATCGGCCTCAGATGGACGACATTGTAGAGTATTATAAAAATATATTCACTCAAGCATAGAAGAAGGATGAGGAGATGTGAGATATTATTGACAGGAATTGCAAACCTTGCAGTGAAAACGCATGGATTCGTCCTGTGAGGGAAGATATACGAGGTTTGTTATAATAATATAACAAACCTCGTATATCTTTCCTCATTATGAGAAATAACATATCGGCGTCTTCTGACAAATCGAGGTGAACTAATGTAGTGTATCAATACAAATGCAACTCTGGAGACTGTGCGCTCCGAAATACATGCAATATTGGACACCCGACGAATACACTGAGTAGACGTCTTACACTTCATTTGCAAGACGGAGGTATTAAGCAACATCATTCTCAACACCACAACACCATCCAGAATCGCCAAGACATAGTGGAAGATACGACAATAATCATACGCACCGACGGTTGTTGGAGGCTTCGTATGCTTGAGGCTGTGTTCATTCGGGAGCTGACACCAGTAATTAACATCCAGATGAATTCGACTCCGAGGATACAGCTGTTTGATGGTCCTTTATTGATCCAGATGGACGATGCATGACCTGGCGGACAACTAGAAGCCAGGTCATACCCTATTCTTCGCCGCTCCCTACGATCAAGGGGGTTATGTGAATCGATGCGTGAGGTGAACCCATACTTATAAATATCTAGATTTTTCCTTGTAAGCCTTACGGGCTCACCATAGCCCGTGCTACATGGACATTTCGCTATGAGTAGAAAAATCTAAAACAACAACAACAACCTTGTAAGCCAGCAGTTACGGCCCCGCTCCTGTGCCAGGTAAGTCCACTATGGGCTCGCCATACTGCTTGGAATTTTTTGTTCCGAGTAGCTGAATCTAAAACAACAACCTATGTAAGGTATACCTGTGTCTGTTCAACAGTGTATTCCTGAAGATGTCACGCCCCAGACAACCAGGCCGCGACATGGTAAAAGAATTGCAACCTGGGGTTCCACTGAACCAACTAGGATTCGCGAGGCTTCCTCTGAAGGCGAACCAGGCAATCAACACGGCTCATACGGATTTTCTCATTGATTCATTACATTAGTGTAAATTCTCGCTGTGTATTGAAGAGGAGCGTCACAGGTTAGCCATTCGTAGACGACACTTCCAGAGTGCATGGAAGGATTGTGAGAAAGCCTGTTTTGGCTTCAGTGAAAGCCTCAGGAATCCTCATGGGTTCAGTAGAACTCCCGGTTGCAATCCTTTTACCATGTCGTGGCCTGGTTTTTAGTTGCGTGAGCATCCAGCACATAGGTTCAAATCCTCATCACTGCTCATATGATTTTTTCAACAATAATAACAAAGAAACTAATGTAGTTATTTTACCACAAAAATATATTATATGTTAATGTTATGAAGGCCCTTTGGAAATACAGAGCGTAATTTACAAAGGTATTCTGTTGCATGCTTCCTAGTCGGGAAGCAGAGGTTGGAATAATCCTTTTTGTTAGTCCTGAGAATCTGCCACATGACCTCGGATGAGAGATAATATAAATGAATCTGTGTGGCTGAAACAAGTCGGGGTGAAAGAGAAAGAGACAGAAAGGCAGACAGACAGAAACACAGAAACACAGAGGCAGAGACATGGACAGAGCTAAACAGGCAGATAGACACAGAAAGACAGATACAGAGAGACAGAAACAATGATAGAGATAGGTCAGGGAACGTCACACAACCCCTACCCTTACAAACATTCCCCACTCCACCGTCCCCCCTTCCTAACTCTCCCCCCAAACACAGTTGCCATTCCCCCCCATCCAACC